AGAGGGGTGGGAGACAGTTTCATCTAATTTGGAAAAGGTAGGCCTGAAGTGATAGTTCTCATGGTGGTTTAAAGTTTCAGTTGTTAAAGCAAACATATGGGCCAAGATTGGTGGAATTTTATGTTTTAATGGTTTCTAAAATAAAGCTATAAAAGAGAGGAATTGCAGTGGGGTGAGAAATAGGAAAACAGAGGAAGTCAGAAAGGAGGATGAATACCAAATACAGTTGTTCCCACAGGCAGGTTCCCAATCCTTCAAATCCTGTATTTTTTAATCTACATTTGCTTGAAAAAAATTCACATTACATAGACTCATGCAGTTCAAACCTGTGTCATTCAAGAATCAGCTGTAGTTCATTTTTGTCTGTCCAAGGTACTCTCCTAACTGGTAGTCCTAAGCATAGAAAGGAAAAAAGACAACTGGGTGCTCGAAATTATTAGACGTAATAATGTCTTCTATGTGTCTCCATAAAGGTGCCAAAGCTCGGGCACAAAATTTATTCTTATAAATTTTAAATTCCTATCTTCTGAGAGGGCAAGGATTTTTTCTACTTTCTCTAAGACAGATAGATATTCTACTTTTTTTTGACAGTTGACAATGTTGGACTTAAATTCGATATTCCCTTAGACTATTGCAGTAAAAATAAATTAATAATCCTTAAATTTCATTTTACAACAACACTTCTTCAAAGAATCTGTAGTATATCCCCAGCATTGTTCTTTTGTACACTCTCATTTTTTTCTGGTGAGTATTCTACTAGTTTTGTTTTTAGGTGCCCAATAGCAATTATTTTATTTTAAGAACTTTGGATTTTATTTGAAAATGTTTTTACCAAGTACATCTATTTCATTTTGGTAAGAAGATAGTCTGTTTTCTTTGAAGTCATAGAAATTGTTTTCAAAGCTTCATTTTTATTACTCACTGAAATTATTGGAGCAATTGGATAGAATGGCCATGTAGCACTCAATTCTTATGAGGTGTATAAACTGGCTTTGCCAACTTTGGTAACGTTGGTATCATGTCGTTTGGTGTCCATTGAAACTTACACAGTAGCACGCTAAATTAATGTTCTCTCTGTCTTTGACAAAGGTTAAGTTAGTTCCCTTGAACTTTAAAGATAGATAAATTCATTTATATTTTTATATTGTATATATTTTCAATTCATCAAAATATTTGTACCTGGGGATCCTTTATTTTTACCTATCTCTGATTTGCAATGCTAGATTTTAACCATCCCGATCCTGGCTCTGTTTCCAACATACTGTCTGCCACAGGGATAGTCAATCAAGTGCAGTGCACCCCTCAGATTGCCACACTGTATTTTCTTATAATACTTGAAGTATTCCTTGTAAAAATCGTTCCACTCTTTGCCTAGTGATTCAAGTTGATCAGTATTTATTAATTTGTAGATTATACCTTACCTGCTTTAAGCAGATAAAGTTGCCTGCTATAAAGCCGTATAAAACATCTGTATCTTTTTAAAAAACTTTTATTTTAAGTTCAGCGGTACCTGTGCAGGATTGTTATATAGGTAGACTTGTGTCACAGGGGTTTATTGTACAGATTATTTCATCACCCAGGTACTAAGCCTAGTACCCAACAGTTATCTTTTCTGGTCTTCCTCCTCCTCCCACCATCCATTCTCAAGCAGGTCCCCAGTGTCTGTTGTTCCCCTCTTTGTGTCCATGAGTTCTCATCATTTAGCTCCCTCTTATAAGTGAGAACATGCAGTATTTGGTTTCCTGTTTCTGTGTTAGTTTACTAAGGATAATGGCCTCAAGCTGCATCCATGTTGCTGCAAGGGACATGATCTCATTCTTTCTTATGGCTGCATAGTATTCTATGGTGCATATGTACCACATTTTCTTTATCCAGTGTGCATTGATGTGCATTTAGGTTGATTCCATGTCTTGGCTATTGTGAATGGTGCTGCAATGAACATTTGCACGCATGTGTCTTTATGGTAGAATGATTTATATTCCTCTGGGTATATACCCAGTAATGGGATTGTTGGGTTGAATGGTAGTTCTGTTTTTAGCCCTTTGAGGAATGGCCACACTGTTTTCCACTATGGTTGAACTAATTTACATTCCCACCAACAGTGTATAAGCATTCTCTTTTCTCCACAACCTTCACCAGCATATGTTGTTTTTGACTTTGATAATAGCTATCCTGACTGATGATAGATGGTATCTCATTGTGGTTCTGATTTGCATTTCTCTAATGATCACTGATACTGACCTTTTATCTGTATGCTTTTTGGCCACATGCATGTCATCTTTTCAAGTGTCTGTTCACCTTCTTTGCCCACTTTTTAATAGGGTTGAATTTTTCTTGTAAATTAAAACATCTGTATCTTCTACAGAATTTGTAGTAACATATTATTTTTCCACTCATTTTATTGCTTTTTAGTTTGAACTACACAATTTGCCAATCCACTGTGTTTTGTCTAGTAATCTTTTTATGACTCCACCTGTATGCACTCCTCTCTCCCACTGCAGCTCATGTTCCTGAGGAGCAGAGGGTGTGTCTTTGATTTAGAGCAGTTCCTTTGCAAGACCCTCATGTGAATTTCATGTGATTGACATTTTCCCTACTTGGTCAATAATGAACTATACTTGTCCTGCTGCCTATATGTTTCCTGTTTTTCTGTAAATTGTTTAAGGAAATACCCACACTCTCTCCACTTTCTCAACCCACAAAAAAGATCAGTTGTCTTTACTTTGAGGAGGGACACTCCTACCCGGAGCTGTTCACTGGTGGCTAATTAACAGGTTCCCAAAGAATTCTTGTCCTAATATCTACATAGCACTTTATATTATCTCACAGTGCCACAACATTCTCAGAGGTAGACTTTCTTTTTTACTATGAGGAAATTAAACTTAAAGAGATTTCCTGGCCCAAATGTGTTGGGTATGGAAGGCTAGCACATGAATCCAAGTATTCTTATTCTAAGGTTAGTTTTCATTTCAGCAGGCCACATCTGTCTCCATGGGGAAGCTACTATGGAATCAAGTACAAGGCCAAAGCTGTTTTTTGCCCCTCTGCTCCCAGGAATTATTGCACAGTGGTGTGGGATAGGAGCCATCAACACTGAAGTATCTACCTGTATTTTCTTGGGAACCTACCCTTCTATCCATGGGTTGAAGAGTCACACCTCACAGATAAAATTGGGCACCTCTGATTGTTGCCACGTGCTTCAGAGCCCACGGAGATCAGGGCCATGAGAGAGTGGTGCAGTATAAGCACAACTTTAGGCCTGGAAAAACCTGTCTTCAGTCATTGTTAATTCACATAGTTGTATCAGTCCAAAGTCTGGAGCACTGAACTGTAAATTCCTTGAGGGTTACAGGCATATTCTCATCTACTTAAGATCCTGTGGTCTAACATAGTGCCTGAGACACACAATAATGGTATTTGCTGAAAAAAACAAATGAACTATTTTGGCAGAAAATATAATTATATTCGATCTTTACTTTAAACTTCTAGAATGTCATATAAATTATATGTACCTTAAAAAGACACCAGAAAGTCTCTTCCTAAATATTTTGATATTTGGATTCCAAAAGATCTCTTATAAATTCACAAAATTCAGAGGCACTGCCCTTTAACTCAGAAAGGTCTACATCAATTCATATCAGATTAGATCTAAGTGCTACTTGTTGTGTAAGACAGGGTGAAAAGAATATTCTCAGGTTTACACAGGGTTATTAGGAGACTTGAAAATGAAAATCAAAGGTCATAATAATGTATATTTCAAAATTGCTAAAAGAATACATTGTTAACATTCTTACCACATTAACAAACAAATGGTAATTTGGTGAGGTGATAGATATGTTATTATTTATTAAAAATAGATACATTTTTAAAGTACAAAAAAATCCCCAAATTTTGAACTTTGTGGTTTTAGCAGGAATTAAAACCCTGGGTCAATATATAGCCATAAGTTTTAACAACAGCATTATGTCAAGCAGTCACTTGCAAACCACATGAAACTCAAATTTTATGAAGTGTCACAATAGCCTCATTGAAATTATTTCCCAAATATTGACACTAAGAAAGCAAACAAAATATCAACCCTGCCGCTCAGACTTAAACCTTCTAGGCTGCCTGATTCAGGCAGTAACAGACAAGGTGTTTTTATGTCGTCCCTCACACTGACTCTGTCTTCCAAATGCCGTCAAATGACTTTTGCTAATTCTTTCTTAGAAAATGTGCAAAAAGGATTTCCATAGAGGTCTTTGGAGATTTCCTGTGTCCTCATGTGTGTAATAGGTTGGGTCATGTAATAATGAAGGAAAAAGGAAGAACGGGGATTCTATTTTACGTATTTTTCTCCTTCCGGCCATTGAAAGAGGGAAAAAAGGAAAAGGGAAAATTATACCATACAAATGATGTCAGTGTTAAATTAAATTGAGATCACATGTTTGGCTGTGGCAGCTGTAATCTTTTGATTATTGAAGAGATTGTTGGTAATGAAATACATTTGTAAGAAATATTTTTAGTGTAAACTGTATACATGCACAAACTGTGAGCTATGCATCTAATAAAATGATAGATTTAGAAATTGCCTGGTACCTAAATTCATGTTTTTCAAATAGCTATTTATAGAAAGAAAAGTGATATTTAAGCTATCATAGTAGAATATTATAATCTGCCTTATATTACCTTAGATAATAGTCCCATATTTTAAAATAATGTAAAAACCATTCAATTATTTATTCATGCCTAAGTTATATAAATTGGAAGATTTGGGGAATTGTGCAAGAAAAGAATTATTTTATCCAAAAGTAAGGCCTCACTGTCATGGCTTAAAGAGATTGCCACAAAACAAGTTATACTACAGATAAAAATAAACCAAACCAACATGAATTTTTAATCAATAAAATTTTTTATAGACATTAAAAACAAGTATTAATTTTAAGTTTTTCTCTTATGAAATGAAACATCAGTGTATCTGGCTGTGCTATATGTTCAATATGTATTTCTCTTCCTGATAGGTCCTTGACACTTACTGTAAAATCTCCACAGAACTGGATGATGATCTCAGCCTGGGGAGAGCCTATGAAGCCATAGCCAAGGTCCTGCAGAGGTAAGTTAGCACATCCTCGTCTTGCTGTCACTGTGAATTCACTCAACTGTGAAAGGCTTAAATTGTTTGAGGTCTGTCGCTTTCCATTACTGCCTGCTTAAATTTTAAGCAGTGCCCTTCTTAAGTGACCCTTTCATCGTAAGTTACTTTAAACCATTTTGGTATTTTAAAATACGCATCTAAACTCTTCTTTGTCTGTGCCTCCTTCGTTGTATTTTCTTTTTGGTTTTCTGTAAGTTTAGTGATGACCTTGAATAAAAGAGAAAAAAATCGGGTCACATCTCACAAGTTAAGAAAGCAGAGAGCACAGAAATATGTAGTACGCTTCAGTGGCTGTGGCTCACCGTAACCTTTCCAGATCTCTTCTTTGAGGAAAGTTTCCATTTATGCTTCAGTCACGCTTTTCCGTTAAGGCATCTCTCCTTTGAGCACATCTGGATAAACAACTGGAGTTAAAACCAATATTTCCAATATTTCATTTAAAACAGAAAATGTTAGATACATGAACAACTTCTGATACCTGTTTTTCCATGGAAGGCATATCATTCATCCTTCAGTCATTGTCTTGCAATCATTGTTTACTCCATTTGATTGTTATAGAGTAGCATTATGACTTAAGAAATAATAACAATAAGAGAAGTTATCGGTTAAGGCCTTGGTTTTTATTATGTTATCTTATATCCAAGATACAGCTTTTTAACAATAGTAATGTTGGTAGCAGTAACTATAGTAACAGATATAGATTGTGTTAAGTTCTAATTTCTTTCCATTTATATCAGTTGTAAACACATACAAGGAGGTGTTTTAAAAGTAAAACTGTTATTTGAAAGACATTTGAAACATTAAAAAGTACCTAGTGAAGTAAAATTGGAATCATTATATAAGTACCATTACTAATATAATAATCATAGTTTAAAATATCAGTACCAATGAAATTAAAGATATCCCACAAAATAAATAAAATGCAGTAATCACTGGATAAATGGTTTAGGAACGCAGACATATTTAGAAGGAGAGGCCAGGCATGGTGGCTCACGCTTGTAATCTCAGCACTTTGGGAGGCTGAGGCGAGCAGATCACCTGAGGTAAGGAGTTTGAGATCAGCCTGGCCAACACGGTGAAACCCCCTCTCTACTAAAAATACCAAAGAAAAAAAAAAAAGATTAGTTGGCCATGGAGGCGGGCTCCTGTAATCCCAGCTACTTGGGAGGCTGAGGCAGGAGAATCACTTGAACCTGGGAGGTGGCGATTGCAGTGAGCCGAGATTGCACTCCAGCCAGGGCATCAAGAGTGAAACTCTGTCTCAAAAAAAAAAAAAAGAAAAGAAAAGAAAAGAAAAAGAAAAAAAGAAAGAAAGAAAAAAAAAAAGGAAAAGGAGAGTATGGGTGTTTACCCAAGAAAGACAGAGCCAGTCATGGGTAAGGCAAGCAGCCTGTAAATGTTGTGATCCTTCTAAATAAAGATTGGTAACTAGTCCATGGAAGACCAACTCAGCTATTTTTTAAAACTTTTACTTCCAAACAACAACCCAGAAGATGCAGATGGTTGAATACAAAGAAGAGACTGATAAGAATTCAATTTATGTCTATTTGGAACAAACCAGCTCTGCTGATTGTACATTTGATTATGAACTTACTTGACTCTGCTGTTATCACTGCCCAAAAATCAGCAGAAAAGGACTGCATTCTTTGCTTTGCTTTGTAGGAGCATATAAATGTATCCCCTAACATGTTTATAAAATAATTTTTACAAAATGACATTTCCATTGTGTTCCAGCATAACTAGAGAGATAAGCTGAGTGTGGTGGTGGGGTCCTGTAATCCCAATTACTTGGGAGGCTGAGACGGGAAGATCTATGGAGCCCAGGAGTTTGAGTCCAACCTGGGCAACATAGCAAGACCTCATCTCAAAAATAAATTAATTAATTAATAAAGAGATAAAACTTCAAGGGAAAAATTTATTTATAAACATCTACTAAGCACTTACTATGTCACAGGACAAATATTGAAATGTCCCTTTGGTTACTGATGGTCTTTATAATTATTTTTGAAACTTCCAGAGACATAAGCCTGTCTTCAAATAATTCTCACCTCTTAGCTTTGTTTCTTATCTGGAATATTTTAGCCTCCATCCCAGGATTTGAATTCCTGGTCGATACAGTCAAAGCTAAGTGAAGAGCTGAACAATTATCTGGTGAATTTTGGCACTAACAGGCAATCTGATGTTTTAATTTGCCTATTTAAGTATTATTTGGAGCTTGGGAGTGGGACGGGACAGAGCTATATTTGATGTATCATGAAGCTGAATGTGTTTTGGGTAGGACTGGGGACCATTCTGTTCCAACACTCTCAGCAGCCTGCCAATGTGCCTGAGGGCAAACATTTAAAGGAGCAAGAAGATTTGTCCCCATTTTACTTTTATGCCAAGTAAACTAATTCTTTTTGTAAGAATTCCTGGCTAGGCACAATGGCTCACACTTGTAATCCCAGCACTTTGGGAGGCCAAAGTGTGAGGATCACTTAAGTGCAGAAGTTCGAGACCAGCCTGGGCCACATAGTGAGAACCTATCTCTATTTAAAAAAAAAAAAAAAAAATTAATTAAAAAAAGAATTCCCATCTACTAAAGTACAATAAAGCCACCAGTGATTTCATGGTAGACATGCATTCTTAATTTTATAATGTTATACAATGCACAAGACAGTGCAGAGGATGCTTATTCTGAGGTCGTAGTGAAAAAGTGTCCCAAGGCCACAACCAGCTTTCCAATCCAAATCTGTGATTTTGCAGCATCGTTGTTGGTTACGGAGGAGCACTCAGGGAGTGCAAGCCTCCACATATTATTTCAACATCTGTGCAAAATAATTCAAAAGGGTGATCTACTAACAGGCAGATGTTTCCAAACCTAAAATTCTATAAGATAGACAACAGCATCCTGAATAGCGTAAAGCATTATTAAATCAAGTCCACTCATTGAATAAATGCTTTGATGTAAATTCTGTGATCATTTTTAGAACATTTTGCTTGAAAGACTTGATATCCTTCAGTAAACATGCATGTGCACACAAACACACATGCACATACCCACACACATAAACACAAACACACTCATGTACCAGCCCTTTCATAGCCCTAAATTGTCCTTCTCAGGTTAGTAGCAACATGCAAGAAACAGACTACAGCCCAAATAGAGGAAATTATGGTGGTGGCAGCTGAGAAATAAATCAAATTGCATATGAAGCTTAGCATCACCTCTAAATCTCTTTTTCCTAACCTATGCAATTGCACAAGTTTCACTAATGGTAGCCCTATCTCTATAAACATATTTTATATCTTTAAAGGAAATGGAAGAGGATAGCCATGTCTAGGATAAGTGTGTGTCTAAGGCCATCAACTGAGCGTGCGTGAACAGTGAATAAGATCTAAGGCTGGAAGCTTCTAAAATGGTTATAAGAATTTATACTAAGCCCTCAATTGAAAAACACACCACAATCCCTCAAGACTGAGGATTTGGTAATACAGAGTTGCCTGTCTAGTGATATTATTAATAGATACAGACTTGGTGTTAGAGTTATTGGGGAAGGTGTTAAGTGAACAAGTTTTGTTATTTTTGCCAATGATCTGAATAATATTAATTGCATAAGACTTTAAGCAACATAGCAGAAAATAAGCATTTGTAATGCTGTTCTTCACCCGCTTGGAATAATAGTGAAGAAAAGAGTTGATGTTCTAAAATACTAAAAATTGCCTTGTGAAACTACAATAGAAGCTAGAATTATGGTCCATAAAACAAAGAGAAAGTGAGTTGAGAAATTACAAGTAAATATTATTATTATACAGACAGGCAGTTTGAGTAAATACAGAGAGGGAAAATTCCAATATTTTCCTCAGCATATAAATGTATCCCCTAACATGTTTATAAAATAATTTTTACAAAATGACATTTCCATTGTGTTCCAGCATAACTAGAGAGATAAGCTGAGTGTGGTGGTGGGGTCCTGTAATCCCAATTACTTGGGAGGCTGAGACGGGAAGATCTATGGAGCCCAGGAGTTTGAGTCCAACCTGGGCAACATAGCAAGACCTCATCTCAAAAATAAATTAATTAATTAATAAAGAGATAAAACTTCAAGGGAAAAATTTATTTATAAACATCTACTAAGCACTTACTATGTCACAGGACAAATATTGAAATGTCCCTTTGGTTACTGATGGTCTTTATAATTATTTTTGAAACTTCCAGAGACATAAGCCTGTCTTCAAATAATTCTCACCTCTTAGCTTTGTTTCTTATCTGGAATATTTTAGCCTCCATCCCAGGATTTGAATTCCTGGTCGATACAGTCAAAGCTAAGTGAAGAGCTGAACAATTATCTGGTGAATTTTGGCACTAACAGGCAATCTGATGTTTTAATTTGCCTATTTAAGTATTATTTGGAGCTTGGGAGTGGGACGGGACAGAGCTATATTTGATGTATCATGAAGCTGAATGTGTTTTGGGTAGGACTGGGGACCATTCTGTTCCAACACTCTCAGCAGCCTGCCAATGTGCCTGAGGGCAAACATTTAAAGGAGCAAGAAGATTTGTCCCCATTTTACTTTTATGCCAAGTAAACTAATTCTTTTTGTAAGAATTCCTGGCTAGGCACAATGGCTCACACTTGTAATCCCAGCACTTTGGGAGGCCAAAGTGTGAGGATCACTTAAGTGCAGAAGTTCGAGACCAGCCTGGGCCACATAGTGAGAACCTATCTCTATTTAAAAAAAAAAAAAAAAAATTAATTAAAAAAAGAATTCCCATCTACTAAAGTACAATAAAGCCACCAGTGATTTCATGGTAGACATGCATTCTTAATTTTATAATGTTATACAATGCACAAGACAGTGCAGAGGATGCTTATTCTGAGGTCGTAGTGAAAAAGTGTCCCAAGGCCACAACCAGCTTTCCAATCCAAATCTGTGATTTTGCAGCATCGTTGTTGGTTACGGAGGAGCACTCAGGG